GGCATCCATCATACTGGACCACTACTTCATCCATCATACTGGACCTCACTTCACCAATTACTTTAGTATGTGTGTGTATACACACACACACATACACACACACACAACATACACACACAAACACACAACAGCATGACTGAGAGAGACTGTGAAACTTCCACTAATGCCAACAAGTTCTTGCCTTCAGAAAGCCACACCTCACATTGTGTTTTAAAGAGAGGGCTCTCAGAAAACACATTCCTCTTCAGTCAAAATGTGATGCTGCAACCTTTGTGTATGTGAAGGGCAAAAGTCAGAAGCAGCTGTGGAGACCATGATCAAGGGATCTATCTACCACACTTTAATTCTGGCCGTCCTTCTCCATTTTATCTTCACAACTCTGTGAAGTAGGTTAGGATCGAGAGTGTTTGATTGGCTCAAGGTCACCCAATTAGCTTCATGGATGAGCAGGAAATAAAGCCAAGCCTCCCCACTCCTCAACTGACACTTTAACCAATGCATCACATTTAGCTCCACCTGTGACTTGAGTCCTCTGGGCAAAGATTGTATTACTTCTATAAAATTTATTTATTCAGAGAAAATTTTGAGAATTCTATTGTAAGTACAAACTAGAATAGAACAACTGCTAAGAGAAATAGTAGTGGTGATAATCAACATGTAACCTCGACAACAATTGAGCCCGTGCAGTGTTATGATACAAACCTCCTGGAACACTGTACCAAGCTCCACCGTTGGTTGTTCCATCTATGAAACTGCTGTCGTCATCATTCTTGCGACAAGGTGGCCTGTTTGGATCAGACATGGCTGGATTGAAGGATGAATAGCTTCGAGCTAAGCTTTGGAAGATTGCATCATCTGGGCAGGAGCTGTATTCATGTGCACTGCCTAAGAAAACAAAACCAGAAAGATGCGGATGAGTTGTGAAGACAACTTAGAAAATGGCAAACAGTATTTGTTGCTGTTTCCAGAGTAGCTAAAAGTTCCATTTGAAAAGGGCCATATGCATTAGGTTTAGGGAAACACATTTCAGCTGTTTTTGAACAGGAACAATGTGTTCTCATTTTGAAATATCTCTTCACTGTTATGAAACAATACACCATTATATACTGAAAATGTTCTGCTGTGGATGTCCCTGCTGCTCCAAATTACAGGACCAAATTAGAAAGTAGTGTTATGGTATATACATCATTTAGCCACCAATCCTTATGATCACAACCTGTGTTAACATTTTTAGTTATCCCTTCAAAGTCTTAAAAATCTAATGTGTGAATGAGACAAGCACTGCCTACGGAAACACTCTCAAATAGCCACTACTGGTGGAAGCTCCCTGTTGAGTAACAAACCATGGTTTGCTATCAGGTAACATATAGAAAGACCTTCATAGAAAGTTTAAAGAGCTATCACAAGATACAGTGCACTGTACTTCAAACAGGCTATAAGGATGGAGTAGAAACATTATCAGCATATAGTCAGTCAGTCTGCCATGCGTACTGTAATACATCATGACTACAATGCCTCACATCATGAGATTACTTCAATACCATTTACTTCAATGGGATATAAGGGAGAATTGTTTGCAGAACTGTACCCCAGTTAATCCATTTAGTATTTCTATCACATTCAGATGTGTCATATCCTTCTCCTTTCTGCACTGCTCCATAGCTTACTATTCATTTATTCATATGAAAATGTATATTCTGTCTTCTCAGATGCTCAAGGGGGCTATGAATCAGGTTATTAAAATAAAATCATATAAAAATAGCAAGGGAAAAGTACAGCCTGCTTCTCTCAGTCCACAGATTGCTAGACAACTTTACTGCTTAAAAAAAGGAATACTTTCCCTGGAAAAACAACTGATTTACCCTGCTTTTGAAAAACTAGGAAGGAAGATGCCACTCAAGCCTCTTGTGGACGAACAGGTGCTAAAGCTGGAAATGCTCCTGGCTTAGCCAAGGAAGTTTGCATCTGTCAGGCACAGACAGGAGAAGGTGCTCGGACCTGTGCAGGTGTGCAGCTATTTTCAGGGAGAGGCAGTCCTTCAAGTATATGGGGTCCCAGGTCAGAAAGGGGTTTACAGATACAAAAAAGCACCCTGAACTGAGCCTGAAAATAAATATGAAGTCAGTGAAGTTATTTCTAAAGCAGCATGATGTGCTTGTTGCAACATGTACCAGTTACTAAATGGGCTATGGCATACTGCACTAACTGAAGTTACCACGGTCTCTACAAGGGTTGTCCCTGTAGAAAACATTGCAGCAGTCCAACCATACAATTACAGATGTGTGAGTGCAGAAGGCACAAATGTTCCCAATCAGATGTAAACGTTAAAAAAGCACTCCCTGCGAGTATGCCATCCTGCACATCAAAAAGCAAGGTAAGGTCTAGGAACAGTCTTAAGCTCTTCATCTGCTGAAGATCCCATCCAACATGCAATGTCTAGGAACAGTCTTAAGCTTTTCACTTCATCTGCTGAAGATCCCATCCAACATGGCCTAACCAGCCCCCTCCAGAAGAACCTTCTCCACCATCCTCTGTCTTAAGAGGAACAAAATACAATGACTTGGGGGTAGAGGAGAACAATATCTCAGTGTAAAGTCGTGGTGCTCTACACGAATAGTTTTTTGAAGTCTTTGGCTCCAGTCAGATGTCAGAAACAAACCTCAGTTTATACATGACAAAAATGAGCTGTGACAGTCCACAGCCTCATGCACTTCCTCAACCTCCCCTACATATAGTGGAGTTTGTCATGATATCCAATTTGTGAAAAAATATGTGCTTCTTGCCTCTAAGCAAGGATTCTAAACCATAAACTATTCTCACAATTTCCCAAAGTATGTGTCATGACGATATGATAGTTGCCATTTGTATCAAACCAGATAGTTTTCCATCATCACTCTGTGCATGAGGAAAGGAAGGGCGGGAGTGGTGTGTGGGAATCTAAGGTCTTTGTAGGCTCATTCTCATCGCAAACAGACCTTGGTTGGGTCATGACATCTGACTGCAGCTTTTGCATACCGGCACAGAATTAAGGAATTAAATTTTCAGTAGGTCCAAACTGATGGGTATACCTCACATGTCTTTGATAAGATTGCATTTGTACACAGAACATACCAGTACGAGTCTCATCATAGGGGTAGTTTGCCACAACGTCTCCTCCATGGAGGTTGGCCGACAGCACAAAGGGGATGTCCATAATCCAGTGAATCACACCTTTAGTTTCTGGCGCAAGCTGCACAAGAAAAAGAGCATTTCAATATATTTGCTAAAAGTGTTCCAAAGCCAACTTATTATTGTGATAATCACTATAAAGTAGATTTTGGCTTTGCTTAGAACAGTATGAGAATGGGCCCTCCTTTCCTTTCACTGATCCTCTGTACAGTGGAACAATGGAGCTCATTCTGGGTTTTTACAATCTGAATGGAAATTGTTTAAGCTAACGCCACAAGCAGTTCTTGTTGGAGAAACAACAGCCTGCTAAGAG